AGACTCTTTGATCCATAATAATCGTCACTTAAGCCAGGGAAATCCTGATATTACAGAGACAGGAGAGAGGAGAGAGACAGTGAGAGAAAGCCGGCCACAGACAAGTGTAAGGAAGAAAAGAAATGTCACCTCCTCCCTGTGAAAAACACCCCAAAGAGGCAAAACAAGGATAAGACATAGTACAGAAGGGTAAGAGCGGAGAGGAGGCCACCATTTCTGACACATTACACATCATGGAATGAAAGAAGGAACATGGAGGACGCAGGAAAGAAGCTCAGATGAGTGCTAAATGTCAATGGAGATAAAACCCAACACCCCCTCCCCCACCTGAGGTGAATGGACTTCTGAATGAATGGACTTCACACGAATTCCTACAAGCCAGAACTCATTAGGCGGAGGTGCGAGAGCTGAGCCGTTGCACTGGACTACTATACACAAGAGGACCCCAAACCCCGCCACTCTCTAGCAGTTATAGTGTGGCCCTTGGGACCCCTGCAGACAGGAGTCTGTTTTGATGCCAACTCATCAGTAAAATAATTCAATAAACTGTCTATTAGTGAAATGGTTTCCTTCACACTATAGATTCTCTTCTGTCCATCACTTTATGCTTTTCCCTTCTTCGGATCTTTAATTCAGGAAGACACTGGAAGCAAAATCAGTTGCACATGTAGACCATGTCCCGGAGTAGGTCTCCAGTCTCCCACCACCTCCCGCGAGTAGGTCTCCAGTCTCCCACCACCTCCCGCAAGTAGGACTCCAGTCTCTCATGAACTCCTTGCTCCTCCCTTGAACTTATTTAAGCCACGCCTCTGCACTTCCTGTTTGCCTGATTTCGAGTAGGTCTCCAGTCTCCCACCACCTCCCGCGAGTAGGTCTCCAGTCTCCCACCACCTCCCGCGAGTAGGTCTCCAGTCTCCCACCACCTCCCGGAAAAGTAAACTTAGTTTCTGCTGAACTCCTTGCTCCTCCCTTGAACTTATTTAAGCCACGCCTCTGCACTTCCTGTTTGCCTGATTATTGTGCTTCTGCCAATATCTTGCTTCCTGCTCCTTCTGTGATACAATCCGCTCATTCTGCTACCCGTGTACCGACCTTTGGCTGCTGATCCACCGACTACTCTCACCGTCTTCTGCTTTATACCCGATACCTTTGGCTACTGACCTGGGCTTAAACTCTGCCTACACTTCTGCCTGCTCCTATACTACTACTGTCTGCTTGTGTACCGAACTCGGCCCGTTATACCACAAATTTGTCTGCCGTTTCGGCTACTGGACTCTGAGCCTGATTGCGACATCGACCATGTCTCAGGGTAGGTATGCAGTCTCCGACAATTCCGTGGAGTAGGTCTACAGTCTCTGACCACTTCCTGCAGTATGTCCGCAGTCTCTGACCATCTCTTGTACTATGACAAGCCTATAAAGCATTCAATGCACTGAAAATTATGTGTGGCCCTTTAATGCTATCAGAGTTCACACCTGAGGCCCCTTCTATAGTAAGTTGACTACCATGGAACTCTAGGTATAAGAATGGCGAACTTATACAGCTGTACAATAACAAGACATGGAGGACCATGGTTGCCTACCCCTGAACTAGAGCGATAGTAGATACTGCAGCAATCAGTCTACCTAATAAGACACGAGGTCCTACATGGAGCTCTGAAAGAGCCGACAAGATCTGTTCTCAAATTACAAAAGGAGAAATCTCCAATATCAGCATTACTTCCTGCTCATCTGACCCGGGCCACCATGCTGCCCACCGTAGTGGCATATACAGTTTGTTTTTACATAACATACATTCTTTGCCATGAGGGGATTGTAAGGCAATACAAGTCAGGGAAGGAGCAGAATGTGGTCTGTTCTAGTACGACTCATGGTGGATTGAGGAGGCGGCTCTAGTGCAAGCCGGACACCTGTAGCTGACGGTTGCAGCCATGGAGCATGAAGCAGTGTCACCAACTCTGGGACTGTGATGGATTAGACACCTTACAGGGGACGGGTCCTGTTTTTTTTCCAAGAGTAGAATGGTCCCTACTTATCAATGGTCATCTCCAGCACTAGACCCATGACTGCTGTGCTGGTTATTTGAATGTGCTTATACCCCTTACTTCCTGGAAGGTCAGAGGACTGGGGCCAACAAGCCCCCATGTGATAAGTGTTTGGAGGTGAAAGGTTCTCTTTGTGGAGGTGAAAGGTTCTCTTTGTGGAGTCCCTAAAAGACCCCCCGATGACTCCTGCCCTCCAATACAGAGGGGTCAAGCACAGGATGGTGCCAAATCCTCTGTTTACCTGGCACTTCAGCTGGATTTTAATAGTTCTGAAGCATGAAGTGCCGAGAGCACAGCGCTCCCCGCTTCATTCAGCACAGAGCACATCAGGAAATGGGCGTTCCCCGGTCTGCTCCTGCTCTCCATCCCGACACCCTCTGCTGTGGTCCTGGGCCCCCCGAACCACGGTGGTTGGGGGTTACAGCACGATCACTGGCTAGTACCAGTGATCTATACAGCTGCCCAGATCACTCGTAGTTGACAATTCAGCCCTGCCTGATGTCATTGGTTGCTAGGACGCCAGCGGCCCTAGCAACCAACGACCGAAGCGGAGGGGGGCCTGCGCTGGGTTATGACTGGTAGTGGATGCACCGGCCTCAGAGACCAGTTTATCCACCGTCAGCCGTCCATCACCCAGTGCAGGTCAGCGATCCGGACAGAACTGCCACTCGGTCCTTGTCCGGACTGCTGTCCGCCATTTAGAGGCCCCCGGCTCGACTGCCATTTAGAGGCCCCCGGCTCGACTGCCATTTTTATGGGTCACGGCAAACCAGGTTTCTTAGAACTTCTACCCCTATCAGCAGGCCCGGCCCGTAGTAATCATCTCACTGCTTTCTATCAGAAACCATAGGAGGGAGAACAATGCAATTACAAGAAACGATCTCTGTCACATTATCCCAGCTGGATCATTTCCTCAGTTGAGACCTCGGGTAGAACAAACCTTGCTTCACTCAGAGCCATGATTTCTCTATGGATGGTAATCCTATGGCTGGGAGCAGCGGCGAGAACGTCTATGAATTGAGCCACAGTGCCTGCAGCTAGAGATCAGGAAGACTACTTTGGCAGCTCATACATTACTTCCCAACATGTAAACACTTACATGTCCATCTCCTGGCCAGAGGTTCACTTTAAGGCCCGGCAGCAGCTGACAGAAAAGCCACAATCTATTCTATACCCGCTACTGATAGGGAGATGACACAAAGACGTCAGATCTGAATTTCATGTGTAAACCACAAAGATATCCCTCTAATCTTCAGGATAATGACCTCCATGAAATGAATCCAGCTACAGCGGCCTGGAATACGTCATGCGTCGTCTCCATCCCTGGCAACTTATGTATGAGAAAGTACAACCGTCTCATAATCTGTACCGATCCCAAATATGAACATTCACTCTTCAGGTTACAATGTGTCCGCTTCATTCTAGATCAGTCAGGAGACAGTTTCCTGGGTGTAGAAGGTTAGCTCAGCACATTCCACCTGTTGGAAAATCCCCCGTGCCCGGTATCACCAAGAGGCAGAGGGGATTTCCAGTTTTTAGTGTGAGCGTTAAGCCCAGTTAAAGAGCCATGACTCGTAGATGTGGAGGAGCCGAGCCGTCCTCTTACCCCCATATGAAAGTGCCTGAACACAGTCACACCGGGTTGGGAGGAGGGATAATCGAAGCCATCCACAGCAGCTTAGCCAGCAGTGAGGTGTGAGGGTAACAAATTGCAAACCTTGTTGGAGGTGTGAACTATCAGGAGTCACCGACATTCTACCTGGAACAAAACAAGAGACAGGGTCTCTTTACAGACAAAGTGCAGAATGTATCAAAACTGGGACAGAATATGGAGTAGTTGCCCATGGCAACCATTCAGCTTCCCGGTTCAGTTAAGCTTTGCAAATGAAAGAGACGCTGATTGGTTGCCATGGCCAACTGCTCCAAGATTCTGCATGTTCCAGTTTTGAGAAATCATTCTCAAAGTGTCCCCGTCACATTAAAAGCTCCGTATTGGTCACAAATACATAAAAATATCCCGTTCTATCTGATAACATTGCAGGTCTCCGACTTATGATGGCATTGTATATTCTGCATTCCCGTCGTTCCATCCCCCCCCAGCTTCAGGTCATTGTTTTGTTGCCCGCGGTTATTTTTTTTGCATTCTTCTTTCACTTCAAGGTCCGCACTTTGATCATGACAACGTTGACGGTCGCTTGGCAACTGGAAGCCCGGTGACGCCGGTTCTGGCTACCGCTTCCTATGGTGCTGTACAGAATCTATATCCTTGCTAGGTATAAATGGTCACACACGTCTTCTTCCGTCACATTTTGGGCACCTTTACTTGTGCGGCTCCATTCCCTATGGGAAGCCCTGGCCATTTCCTAGTGACCAGGCGCTGACTGACATCAATTCCAACCACCCACCGGTGGCACACACGTCACATCTGGAGGAAGTGGGGAAGTCATGATTGGGCGGTTGTCATAGCGAAGCCCAAAACTTCCTGCTCTCATTCTAATGCTTCCTGCTGTCATTCTATTGGCAATGGTTCTTATATGCCTACTAAGTAGAGGGGAGGCTTTGGTGCACGTGTTTAATGAATGCTGGGACTCATGGTACCCCCAATGGTATACAATAGAATATTGATCGTCTCCTAGTAAGCAAATTTAATGTTTCCTGCATATTGGGGGTCATGCCTCCTGGCACCTTCCCATTGGGCTCTATTGAAATCGATTCTATGCACTCATTGTGCACTGAGCTAGCATAGGCTCCCAAATGTCACTGCATTTGTGACTAGTAACTATGCTACGTGCTGCTCACACGTCATCTTGGACATGAGCAGCACCATTCGCCGTTATTCACTGCACCACTCACTTCGGGTTTGGCCACCATACTGCCTGCGGGTCTCATTAAAATAACATCCCAGACCTCCCAACACCATAGAGTACAGGCACACAACGGCTCGACGGGTCTGTAATATCCTCATGCACAGTTCTAGATTTTACTTCCCTCGCCACTGTCCCAGAAAAGGTGTCACTCACTCCTCTCTCATCCCAGATACAGTTCCGGGAACCTCCGACCTCTCCTCTTTTACTTACGTGCGTTGTTGGTCTCCTGGACAAGGCTCTTGTAAAACGGAAACTTGCGGGACAGTCGGAAACTCTTTTTACGCTTGGATTTGATGGACTGTGGCGGATGGTGCAAGGCACAGAAAAAAAGATGGGGGACACAATGCCACAAATGAAGAAAGTGATGGAGGGGGAAGAAGGAAACAAAAACAACAAAAAAACAAAAAGACACGGGTTTACAAGGCATGCAAAAAAAAATAAATCATAAAATGGGAGCGTGTGATGAGAAGCAAGGACTGACATGAAATGTACGGCACCCTTAACAAGCATGATAACTGAC